TGGCTCAAGGGAAGTCTCCTGGAAGCCACAGAGGATTTGCGATGGCTGGTTAACACTGGCACAGGAGTGAGTGGGTAGAAGATCATGGCCAGGACCTGCGGTCTGGCTTACCCTCCCTAAGGCCAAACCAGTGATGCAGTGGGCGAGGCATAGTGGGATTCTGTGGGAAGGCTAGAAACAGACAGAACCAGGGCAACAAGTAGAGAGGGGGCTGCTCCCAAAGGAAGAATTCAAACACCTGGAGACTCTCCACAAACCTGTCAGCTCTTCTTCCTTTCCCCTTCACCCCAATGACCGATAAACTCCAGGTTCTCTGGGCGTCAAGACCAGCATGAGCTGGTCCTTTCCTGCTCAGCCCTCACCTGAGAAATCCCTTGTCCCCATCCGTACTCCAATCTCTGGTCACAGGAAAAGGTTCCCTCCTCCCCTCCAAAGCCAGGCCCTTGTTAAGACCAGACCTCCACTTTCAGAGAGATCTTGTAATTCCTAACATTTATGGGAAGTTTCCTACTCCACCAGGTGCTTTATATTTACTTCAGGTCCTCCTCACCTTCCATGCACATCTTCAACATTTTTCTGTGCTGAAAATACCTTAGTGCTTACCATGCTCTCCTAACTCCTGCCCATTTTTTCTCCATTTCTTTTCAGCTAGGCACTTATCAAGATACCCTGCCTTCTTAACCCTTTGCAATGTCTGCATTCTCTCAAAAATCTTGCTCTGGAATAGTCTAAAGCCCTTAAGCCTCATTCACTTACTCCCTGGCCCCTGTTCTGCAGGATACAGCATTAAAAGCCTCCTCCTTCTGGAAGCTCTCCTCTCCCCTGGCTTCTACCCCAGTCTCTACTTCCTATGCTGGTTCTTGTTCTTCCAACCTTAACCCCAGCCCCCCAGAATGCTTTCTCCCACACTGACCCCAGTTCCTGGTCAGCCCTCTACATTTTCACTTCTGGGAGCTCATACATTTTCATTATTTTAAGTGCCCCTTCTATACCCAAGACAAGGCCAAAGCCCTTAGGCCCTCTATCCTAATCCTCTCCTGAGGTTCAGCCCCTCCCTATGCCCTTGCTCTCCCTGGGGCACCTTCCACCAGACCCGCTCCCATACAGACATAACCAACACACACCAAAAGCAATGGAGACAGCTCGAAAGACAGGAGACTGTTCAGCTTTGCTACCAAGTCACCTTGCACCAATTAGTGGCTGCTTCTTAGTGAACCTGTTCCCCTATTGCATGGTGTGGGCAATAATCTCTGCCCTGTCTATCCCACAGGATAATGTAATTAGCACTTGGAAAAAACAAAATACAGAGGCTTCTTCTTTTTGAGTTTCCCTCTTCTGCCCGACATTGCCATCTCCTGGCTCCCAGGAAAGCTCTATGCTGCTTTCTTCAGGCCCCAAGTGCAGGGAGGCATCAAGTCTCGATGATTTCTTCAAACTCTTTCTGGAGTTTGAATTTCCCTTTAGTTTTTCAAGTTCATTTATTTTGAGAGAGAATGAGTGCGAGCAGGGGTGGGGTAAAGAGAATCTCAAGCAGGCTCCATGCTGTCAGCACAGAGCCGGACACTGGGCTCAATGCCATGAACCGTGAGATCATGACCTGGGCGGAAACCAGGAGTCAGCTGCTCAACCGAGCCACCCAGGCGCCCCCCAACTTCCCTTTGAATTCCTACAATCACCCACCAGGCCCTCAAGCCTAGCTGGCTAGTTCCTGACTTGGAGCCTTGCACACCACCGAACATCTCCATTCCCATCAGGTCACTGTCCTGAGAATGCCAGATGATGCGTTATCGAGGCTACCCCCCCCCCCCCCGTTCATGGCCCCACCCAGCTCTGCAATCTTTTCTTAGCAAACCACTCAGCTGGCCCACTTGAGTCTAAAGAGCTTCCTAGTCTGTGCCTTCCCCTGGGCAGCTCATTTCTTGTTTTACTTTCCACCTACTTAAACTTTGCCCATCCTTACGTCCTGACTCCCTTCAAGGCTTTTCTGATGTCTAACCCCCTTGTTCTGACTTTTCCTGTTAGTATGTCCTCACAAAAAACACACGTGGCTGGAATACTGCTTAAGGTTTCCTTTTACTTTTTTAAATTGTAGCACAACTGCTCCTTTCCCCATCTGGTATTCCTTTACTCAAACCAAACGCACTGGACTCGGGTCGCAGAACCACCTGAGTCTGCATGCAGGGTAAATCTGGTCCCCCCTAAGCTTCATGCAGTTTCCCTCAATGGTAATAAGAGTTTAGCAACACTTACCTCACAGATTTGTCACTGAGGATTAAAAGTGGTAACACGTGAAAATACCAAGCAGTATCTAAGACAAAAACAGAAATGGAAAAGATACTGGCTGGATTGTGACCATGGCTTTGATCTCAGCTTGATGTAAAAAAGAGTGATTATTTATGGTTCTCAAACTTCTGGGCAAAACTGAAATCTCACAGGTACTATTCACAGCATTGTTTGGTTGTTTCTCACTTAAAACCCATATAGTATGTTCTTCTCTGAAGAATAAACTATTCTGACAAAAAAGTGTACTTCCTTTTATGTGACAATGGGACCTATATAACCTTGACTCCCATTTCTGCCTTTGATTGCCAGGAAGCTCAGAGCACGGTTTTATACTCTGTTGTAGATTTCCTCACTGATCTGTGGGAGGCAGTGTGGGATGGGGAAAGAACAAGGGCCCTGGGGTTGGAAGATGTGGACTGGGGCACCCTGGGCCCCTTCTTCCTCTGTCTGGATGACTCTCCAGGTCTCTCTGAGCCTTAGTCCCCTCATCTGTGTAAAGGGGATAAGAACGATGAGGATGCCTATTTTTCACAGGACTGCTGTGAGAAAATGCATTAAAACCACTTTCTAAATTACCCAAAAAAAATCCTATGAAAGTTGGTTATTAGCAGCACAGGTTTTTTTCTTTAACTTTTTTTATTTTTTAAATGTTTATTTCTGAGACAGAGCATAAATGGGGGAGAGGCAGAGGGGGGGACACAGGATCTGAAGCAGGCTCCAGGCTTTGAACTGTCAGCACAGAGTCTAATGTGGGACTCGAACTTGTGAACCGCGAGATGATGACCTGAGACAAAGTCAGACACTTTACTGAAGCACCCAGGCACCCCTACCTTTTTTAAATTTTTAATTCTAATTTTATTTTTAAATTTTAAAAAAATGTTTATTTTTGAGAGAGAGAGAGAGTGTGAGCAGGGGAGGTGCAGAGAGATGGAGACACAGATTCCGAAACAAGCTCCAGGCTCTGAGCTGTCAGCACAGAGCCCGATGGAAGGCTTGAACTCGTGAACCACAAGATCATGACCAAAGTAGGATGCTTAACCAACTGAGCTCCCAGGAGCCCCTTTAATTTTTATTTTTGAGAGTGAGTGAGTGCTGAGTGAGGAGAGAGGGGAAGAGGGTGAGAGAGAATCTTAAACTGGCTCCATGTTCAGAGTGGAGCCTGACTCAAGGGCTCAATCCCACAGCCTTGGGATCAAGGCCTGAGCCAAAATCAAGAGTCCAATGCTCAACCTACTGAGCCACCCAGGCACCCTTAGCAGCATAGGTTTTCTGACATGAATATTTCCCTTCCCCACCTCCTAATACTTGCACCTTATCTTTTAAACTTTGTTCTAATCATTTTGCAGTTTTACTATAACTGTGTCTCTTAATTTGCTGTGAAGAAGTATACAGAGTACAAATAAATGACAAAATTATTTCTAGAGAGCATTCTCCCTAAGGTCAAGAAACGTCCTTCACTTGTTTTGTATAATAACAATTTACAGTAGAAAAACATGTAGCTACAGGGGTGCCTGGCTGGTCCAGTCCATAGAGTGGGTGACCCTTGGTCTCGGGGATCATGAGTTTGAGCCCTACGCTGAATGTAGAGATTACTGAAAGAGAGAGAGAGAGAGAGAGAGAGAGAGAGAGAGAGAAAGAAAGAAAGAAAGAAAGAAAGAAAGAAAGAAAGAAAGAAAGAACGAACGAACGAACATGTAGCTACAGAAAGAACACTTAGCTCTCATCCCTATGCCAACGGAGGTACTTTGTACTGAACTGTTAAAATAAGCTGAACTGTGGGTCAGAGAATGATCCAGAAAGAGACTTTTTGTTGAGCTTGTACTAATAATGACTGATGATCTAGTAATTCATTCCTTCTTTCACTTATCAAAGCTTATTCTGATGCCTACCATGAGCCAGGCACTCCTGGGGCACTAGGAAAATAAAGGTGACAAACACCGTGCCCACTCTGAGGGAGCTCACAGAGCAGGATGGAAGGTGTATATGTAAAAACTAGTTTCTACCTGGGACAGACAAGGTAGGATAGGGGGGTGGGTATTTGAGGACACACAGGATTTCTCTAGGCTGAAGAGGAAACAAGGATTCCAGGTAGAGGAAACATAAACGGTGGTCTCTTCAGGTGACCCCGAGTGGTTGTTTCCTCAGAGAAGAAATGAGTTAGAGACTCAGAAACAAGCACAAGTCAAAGCAAGAAGCACTGCGGCCTCCAGGAGCCTCAATTTTACCTTGAGGGGATGGGGGTTGTGTAGTCGGTGAAAGATGCCAGACAATCAGGAAGTGAGGGCTTCGGGACATCCCCAACATGATAGATCCAATTTGGCTCTTTAAAACACAGTTCCATATTACACACTGCAGTGTTTGGTGATTACTCATCCTATGGAGATGGGACATGGCCCTACAAACCAGGACCATCTGCTGCTGGAGGTATTCATAAACAGCCTGTATGAACATAGGCCAACTGGGATGCTGAGACAGGGAGTCAAGTTCTGGACCAGAGCTGGACTAAGTGACCTCTAAAGTTTCTTCTAAATCTGCAATTCCGTGATTATCAAGCAAGCCCAGTAGCTGAACTGGTGCTGTGGGCTGGGATCTGTGGCTAGGGAGCTGCCCTGGGCAGAAAATGGGTTAAGGCTCAAATAACTTTTATATATGAATTAATGTGTGGAGTTGGGAGCCAAAATCTGTTCCATTAATTTTTCCATCCATTCCAGGAGCAGTTAGGTACACACAGTAAAGTTTATTTTGGTGCATGGTATACTTCACTCCATTAAAAATAAATTAATCAGCAAATTCCTGCCTGGCTCAGCTCTGGTTTATGTAAATAGTGCCCAGCTGTAATGAGTTACAAGGTGTTATTATCTCACACACACAGAGGAGGCTTCACTCTAGAACTCCGCTCGCAACAAAAGCATCTTAAATAAACTCAGAGAAGGCGGTCTGATTTGTAATGTTTTCACAGAAGTGGGATATACCTCACCCATATAGAATTTCTTTATATGACTCATTTTATAGCAAGTTAAATGAAGGAAGTTTGATGGGGGAAGGAGGGGCAAGATGGTTCCCCGCCCCCTTCCTTCGGTGCAAAGAAAATCCCCCAAGAGATGACCCATACTCAGGGAGGAGGGGACTGACTCTCAAGTGCACAGACCAAGGTGGCTCTGTAGCACATGCTCCAGAAGTTAGGAAAGAGCTAGAAAGCTGGGCATGGGGCTGGGTCCTGGGATGGTACAACTAAGCCAGAAAAAAATATTTTCCTCTTCTCCCCAGTATCTCACATAAAGGAGTCAAGAGAGGAAAAGACAGCATGTCCCTCACCCCATTCAATGGGAAAGTGACAAAGGGCCCTATGTTCTTGGGGCTTCTTTCCAAACGACTCAGGATATGACAAGCCCCTTGGCTATCAGAAGCCTCCTGGGTCCCAGAGGATGGAGCCTGGCAGGCTATGCCTTGGCCAGAACAGTGACATCTCCATGAACTGGAGGCAAGAGCAGCAGCAGAGGTCCTCCTGACCCTCTCCCCATCCTGTGTCTGAGCAGGGTGATGCTCCTCAGCTTACAGCAAATGCCATCTCAGATAAGTTTCTAAAAACACCCTGGAATAAAGAGCCATGGCAGAGATATGTCTGTCTTTTAATGGCCAACTCAACCCTATGGCTCAAAACCAGAGGACAGAGTGTGGTTACCCGTTTTGACTCAGCAGCATTCCAAACTGCTCCTTGGCCATGGTGGGCCCTTGGTGGAAGTGTCCCCTTTCTAACTTACCCCCAACCCTCTGCAGCCTTTGGGAAAAGCTGTCAATCACATAGTTACTGGAGGGGATCAGAGGAGTGTACTGGGTAGCTCTTGCTCAGGGCTTCTCGTGAGGGAGAGGATGTCTCAGAAGAACTACGGGTTCTCCCAGCACTGTACCCCACCACATCAGACTCCTGGGCATACTAAAAGGAAAATCAATACAAATGGGGCCAGGTATTTGACAGATGCTGTTCAAAGATCAGTTCAGGCCACCTTCTGCAGGGTTCTGGGCCAAACAAGCACCTCTCTTCTGGCAGTTCTTCAAAGTCAGCTGGCCAGCTGTTCAGAAGGACCAGTCCATCAAAGACCCTCATCGTTATAAGTTGGGGAATGGGGCTTCAGGACACTCTGAGGATTCTTCTCCACTAGAGGGCGCCAGCTCACCTCCCCTGTCAGAAGCAGATCCTCACCATTCATGGAGTCCAGGTACTGCATCTGCAACAAGGAGAGTAAGAAACAGAGGACAGGGACAAGGACAGGAGAGACATGAGATGGCAGAAGGAATCAGCCTTCCAATGGAGAGGGTGGGGAGGGGGTCTGTGTGGGGTTCTGATAATACCAGCTCCCAGGTCAGTGGGTCTCTAATCTCAGATTATTTCCTTAAAGAGAGTTGAGAGAAACTAGTCACTGGGGAAGCTCATTGGGAAGGCTTTAGAGAATTCCCATCACACCTCTAATAGACCAAACAGACACACTTTCTGGATTGCAAGAAGACATGTATTTGGGATGTGTGCGTATGTGGTTTTATCTGTCCATTCAGGGTAGTGATATTATTTAAGGTGAGCTAATTCCCTTCTCTGAGGTTTAAGTCTCCTTGTCTGAAAGAGGGAATAGTAACGTGTACCCCCACAGGACTCATGAAAAGATTAAATGCTGTAACTGCTAGTCACTGGAACTTTTTCTGGGGCCTTGACCACACGATTAATGAACTACCATGCTTCCCAGTGGGCCCAGCTTCACCCACTACGATGACTGGCAGTTTATCTCTCTGAACAGCAATGTGGAGAAGGGACACCTGTGATGGAGAATGGGCGCAGCCGCAGGGAGGGTGATGTTGGGCAGTTCCTCAAGAAGCAGGTATCTAATGAGAGGCCAAGTCTCAGGAGATAAAAGTGGTCTCTGGAAGGATTCCCCATGCTGCTGCTAGTAAGGAGAAGAGAGGAATGAGAAATGCTTTCAAGTAGACAGGCAAAATTTAGAGTGGGAGCGGGATCACATCAGGAGTGAGCACTACATTCAGAAAGATGAGGCTCCATGTGGGGTGAAAAGGCATTTGGGAGAAAAGGTGAAGGGGCAGGAGTCCAGAGGCCTCATCTTAGGCTTTGGATCATCCTCCTTTCCAAGAATTCCTTCATTCCTGTTGTTTCACCTTCAGGCTGCTGACCCTCAAACCCAACCTCAGTCTCTCACATATGCCTCAGAGGTCTAGATTTCTACACATCATGCTGTCTCCCAATGCAAGGAGAGCAACTGACCCATTATATCCCCTAAAATACACTCCTCTTTCCAACAACTCCATTTCTATGCCTAATGCAGCCATTCTGCCCATCTTCAGCATTAAAAATCTCAAGATAACCACTGACTGGGTACTTGGGCTACCCACCAGACCAACCAGGATCATGGCACAGGACTAATCTGTTCAGGGTCCCTCTTGGTCTTTCCTAAGCTGCTAACTTATACTGAGTCTTGCCTTTTTTTTTTTTTTTTTTTTTTTGGCTTTCCACAGCCTTTGTTTTTACCTGTACCACATCACAGACTGACTGATTCCAGGGTTAGCCTTGTGCCTGACTGGCTTCCTCACCAAACCGTAAGTTGGCTGGAAGGTAGGTCTGGGTCCTGTGAATCTCTGCTTTCTCAACAGAGTGCCTGGCACAGTAGGTACTCAGAAGTTTTGCTGACATAAGCGGGTCCCCATCAAAGTTCCCTGCTTCCCTAAGAGCCCCATCACTGTTTTTTTCTGTTGCCTGCCTCTCACTAGACAATATAGGATTTCTTCAAGAGGCACTGGTGTGGTGTGGTAACTCCTTCTTTTAGGGCCCTCAGAAAGGCTCCAGCTGTGCCCTTATTGTGGCCTCTGCCACAAGCCCACCATGACAGATGGAAAAGTTGGGCTGGTCTCTCAAAAAACACAGCATTTGCTTTGCCAATTGCTACTTCTGTCTAACAGCGACTCCAGTCAACAGTGAGTCTCAAGAGTTCTCTGTGGGTGGAGCCCTCTGGCCACAGTGCCTTCTTCCAGCTCTAGCAGATTTGAAGAATGGTCAAACAGAAGGCCTGGCTTCTGGGGTTCTCTACCCTCTGGGTCTGAAGAGCCCCACTGTGTGGTTTTTCCAGCCATCAACAAGCTGCCCCTGCTGGCTTCTCCCCAAGAGCCAGGGCCTAGCCTTCCCCTCCCTAGCTGCTGAAGGCTTAAAGGCCATGGACACAGGTGAATAAGAGAATAACTGTGGGGTGAGGCCCCTTCAGCTCCAGAGGCCAAGCCCATGAAGCAGAGATGTGACTCATGGGACAGCCTGAGCTGATGAGCTGTCTGAAGCAGCTAAGGCTTCTGGTGGCTACATGAATCACCAGCTTGGGGTTCTAGGCCAGCTGTACAGGCTGACTCATTGGGAGACCCTGGAAAAGCCTCTAAGCTCCTCTTCCCTGCCATTCAGCTCACTCATTTATAAAGTATGGATTTCCCATCAATACAGGATCAAGGGGTAGAGACAGCAAGAAATAACTTTCAAGAAAAACTATGTAGTGAAGCAGTCGTCACTCCAGAGTTTTCTCGTAGAAGCTCTGGTGTCAGGGAGCCCTGGGGGACCGGGGGATGGGGGATGAAGTAGGAGGACACTGCTTGATTGGGGATGGAGGCTTGAGGGTTGTTTGTGGAATTCTGCCTGGAGTCTACTTCTGCTAGAAATGAGGAACAGGAGACATGAACCTTGGAGCTTCAATGTGGGCACAGAGCGGGCTACAGTGGGTGACCACACTGTACCCCATTCCCATATCCTACAGGACTGTGCGCACCCAGGGTCTCCCACTGCACTGGGCACACAACAATCAAATGTGTAGTGAATGAACACCTAAAAGTGTTTGAAAGCAGATTACTCAGCGCCTTTTCTTCTTCTGTCCTATTCTCCACCCCCTGCCGAGCTCATGGTTGGATACACAGAAGCTGTTCTCTATCAGTGCCTGCTGCAGACATGATGTGGTCACAATTCCCTCAGACTGGCCTCTGGGAATTCATGATCCTTTGAAAGTCCAGCATCTACAGACCTCAGGAAGGACTTGCTCTTTCCATGAGCCTCTGGAAGAGGTGGAGGGGTGCTCACCTGTTTCCTCACATACTCCACCAATAATTCAAGCTGTCGAGGATCTTCACATTTCTGGTTGAAGAAGGTTCTCCAGAGTGCAGCAGCTAGCCCATGGTCATCTGAAAGGATCCCCTGGAACACAGAGGAAAATTGGTCTCCTGGGGGCACAGCAGAGCCATAATACAAAAGCTGGGGATACTGTAAACATGATGGCAAGCACAGCATTGGCTTGAAAGGACCTTACAGATACCACTAAATGGCCTTGTGGACCTTATATACACTACAAGAAAGAACGGGTCAGCTAAAATGTAGAGCCAGAAGAGGAATGCAGAGAGCATCTGGTCCAACCCTTTCATTTCACACAGAGGAAGGACACGAGAGGCAGAGGGGCCAAGTGCCCGGCTAAGATTGATGCAGAGATGGGGTTCGTGTCTGGTCGCCTTCCCAGGCTACAGTTTCCTCTACTCTCCTGCACTGTACTTGACCCAGCAATACCTGTGAGGCCAAGAAGAGAAATGGTGGTGCATAGTTCCCACCACTGTCCACAAGGAATAGGCACAGAATATCCTGAGGGGATATTATCCCCCAGAAACAGAGGTGGGCATACACTGCACCTTCTCTTTTAGTCCAAGGGCACACATCTGCAAGGCAGCTGGCTCTCAGGGAAAGAAACCAGGCACCTTGGCCTCACTGTCGCCCATCTCTGGGTTGGCCATGGCTGGTCCTGTCTCTCCTCAAGCAGAGGAACAGGCTGTTCAGCAGAGCTGTCATGGGCCACAGAGGGAATGCTCAGAGCCTGTGTGCATGTGTGGTGCCTAACACTGTCCTTCGCAGCAAAGAGGGGGGCTCTGTTGGGAAGTCCAAATACCAGAGACTAATTGGTACTTGGCTCATGGACTAGGGCCATTTTCTAGCTTGGACCTCTAAGGGAAGGAGAGGAGAGGGTCCTGCTTCCTGGGGTTAGGGTGACTGAAGGGAAAGGCCCCAAGAAGTTGGCTCTGGTCAGGTGCCAAGGTAATGTGGAACCAGACAAAGCACTGGTTAGGATTTACAAGTCAGAAGGCCGGATCAAGTACTGGCTCTGCTACTACCAAGCTCAGAGATGGTGGGTAATCCAATACACCTGAGTCTCACTTGCTCATCTATTAAACAGAGATGAAAATGCTTGTCCTATGTATAGCATCTTTGCATTATAAAAGTGAGATTGTGTAAAAGTACTTTGTAAAGTGTAGTATGTCAGATACCAAGACCAGGAGCTTGCTCTGGGCAGGCAGCTGTGGATGTAGCTGAAACAGCAGTGAGATCTAGGAATCAGACCACCTAGGTTCAAACGGCAGCTCTGTCACTTGATAGTTATGTGGTCTTTAGAAAGCCCTAGTCCTTCCTGAGCCTCAGATTCTCATGAGCTGAACAAACACAGTAAGACCCAGCCCATACGCTGTTGTGAGAATTTGGACATAATGGCCATGAAATGCTCTGTAGATGGCAAATCACTGCACAAAGACCCTAGGTTGTGTATGTGTATTCAATGTGGTGCTGTGGGCTGGCCCCTAGGATATGGCGGCATCTGAGGTCTGACTTCAGGCCTGCTGCCAAGGGCCAAGTCCAGTATGGGGTGCTGACAGTTTGGTGGAAAAACATTCCACCTGTTCCAAATGCTCCCTGCTAAAACATCCCTACAATGCCACAGCTTAAGAGACTGTGCTGGCACAATGGCTGAGTCAGGAAAACCAGCTTCTTCTGGTAGATGGGGACAGGGCCCAAGGACAAGCTCAGGCACATCACTGTTCTCCGAGCTATTTGCTAACACAACAGGCTGCCTGTGTCTGCAGTGCCCTGGGCACATGCTGGAGTGCTGCTGGCAGCAACCAACATGTGCTACATGGGAAGGAACAGGCGTGGGAGCAGGTGTCATGAGGACTTAAGAGAATGAGCACAGAGCACAGGACAGTGAAAGCTCTGGGAGCCATGGCCTGCTGCAAACAGGCACCCTTGGTAATGGGTGAGATGGCTGGGAAGGGGCAAGTCCATAATCAGTCAGAAAGAAAAGGATGACTCGGGACTCAGATTAACAGTGATAACAACCTGACTGTTCCAGACTGTTAAGAGTTCCTTCACATAGCTGGCTCCTAATGCCTATGTATAATCAAGAAGAACAGATATTATCCCCATTTGAAAGATAAGAGGTTTAGAGGTTATCTAAATAAATGGTGATAGACTTAGGACCAGAATGCACTGGTGAAGTCAAGGGATGGCACCTGACTAACTCTGGTTAGGATGCAGTACTTGACAGAGTGGGAGTGCAGTAAAAATGGCTGAATAAATCAATAAACCCAACTTCAGCCTTCTTCCCACCAAACCACCAGAAAGTCAGAGAGAAAGGAGGAAAGGAAAAAGGGTACTTGGCAGCTAAATATTAGTTTGCACAGCAATTTCCCCACCATCTACTAGGGGGCCTACTTATTTGCCCTCGCAACACAAAAAAGCAGCATCCTTCAGAGATTAGGACATCTAGGCCTAGAGTAATTGAAAGGAAGCCTGTGTCTCGAGGGCCCCAGTTATGATTAAGGGTTCGGAATAGCAGTCTCACTCAGAGAAGACTGACCTGTAACACCACTATGTGCTTTTAGCATGTTGCTGAGAACACAGAACCACAGCAAAATGGTCTCAACCTGTAGGCAGCTTGCAACCTGGTTGAAGGGATAAAGCTAGTGCACACCGAATAGCAGCACAGGATTAAATCCTGGAAAATGAACAACCGCCACTCTGTATAGGGAGACTCCAACGTACACTCCGTACATGGCTGGCTTCTCATTATTCAGTCTTAGCTTCTAGGATACTGTATTTGTACTAAGATACTTATTTGCTTGTGTACTTGTTTACTGTCTATCTCCCCATTAGAAGGTAAGTTCCAGTGGGAAAGAACCACACCATGTTTGTTTTATTCACCAGTATATTCCCAGCGCATCCCATGTGGTAGGCATTTAATGTATACCTACTAAGGGATAGATGGATGGATGGATGGATGGATGGATGGATGGATGGATGGATGGATGTTGAAATCCAAAGTAAGCAAACATAGATTTAGAGAGGTCAGGGAAAGCTTTGTAGAAAAGGAGGCCTGTAAGAATAGAGAACATTTAGGGAACTGCAGGACATTCTAAGCAAGAGAGAATATATTAGTTCACTGAACATTTATAGAGAGAATATCTACAAGGTACCAGGCCTTGAATCAGGTCCTCAGGCCCAAAGCTGACAGACTTGGCTACTGCCCTCCACATCTAGTTGTCCAGGAGTCTCAGTCAGGCCCAGCATGTCTGTGGGGCAGTGCAGCAAATGGCCTCACTTGGAAAGGTTACACACTAGAAAGCAATGGGAGATAACAGTGGATAGGACATGTTTCGTTGGGGACCAGTGACAAAAGGCCTAGAAGTTCCATGGAGGAATTTGGGCCTAGCGGAGTAGAAAACAGGAAATATCCAAAAGTGGCCAGGGTCAGGGCACAACCCAAGCAACATTCTAGGAAAAGGGTGCTATAGAACTAGAGCACTGTCCAATGGAACTTTCTGTAACGATGGAAATGTTCTGTCCAGTAGAGCAGCCACCAACCACATAAAGTTATTGAGAACCTGAAATGTAACCAGTGGGACTGAAGTTTCTATTTTATTTAAGGAATTTAAATCAAAATCGCTGCATGTGGCTAATCTTGGACAGCATGGCTCTAGAACCCATGATTCACAGGGTGGTCTGCAGAGGGCTGCACCATGTTCACCTGCCACTTGTCTGCCACGCAGAATCTCAGGCCTCAATATGGACTTGCTGAGTCAGAATCTGAATTTTACCTTGGTGATTTGCATGCACCTTAAAATTAACCTAGGGAACTTTCACAATAGATGCCCACCTAGGCAGTTAAATTAGAACTCTTGAGAGACAGGGCCCAAACAATGGTAGTATTTCTAAAAAATGTCCCAGGTAATTAGTATATTTCCCAAACTTTCCCACTCTAAAGAGTCACCTTGGGGTGCTTGCTAAAATACCAGGCCTCATTCCTATTAAACTGAAACCTTCAGAGAAGTGCTCAAGAATTTGGTCTGAAGAGCTCCCCAGGTGCTCTTGTGATCAGGCACGTCTGTAAGATGTCTCTGTCAGGATGGACTGGGGTAGGAGGGGCAGAAAAGAAACACAATTCAGAACACCTTTATTAATATTGGTGAAAGGAATTAACTGAGCTACATGCAATAAAGACCTCAAACAAATGCTAACTTATAGAGAGTTCTATTTTGTCAATTCTAAGTCTCATTCTTCTACACACTGTAAGCTTTCTGAAGTCAGAATGTAACTAATTTAACAATTAATGTGTAGGGGTGTCTGAATGGCTCAGTCGATTAAGCGTCCGACTTCAGCTCAGGTCAAGATCTCACGGTTCGTGGGTTTGAGCCCTGTGTCAGGCTCTGTGCTGACAGCTCAGAGCCTCGAGCCCGCTTTGGATCTGTGTCTCCCTCTCTCTCTACACCTCCTCTGCTCACACTCTGTCACTCTCTCTTTCTCAAAAAATAAACATTAAAAAGAAAAAAAAAAACACGTGTAGATCTAAGCAGTGTTTCTCAACTCCTATCCCACTCCTGCAAGGCTCATGTTCAATCAATGGTATGTGTGGTGTGCAATGGTTCAATGTGTGGTATGCAATCTAAATTGCTCTCTGATAACTAAAGATATCTGGTGGACTGAGAATCAGGATCCTAAGCAAACCCCTTAATTTTCTGGTAAGTTTATCTCTTGGCTTTAATTATTATCTTCAGGCTAATGACATTTCCTTCAGCCTGAACTCCAGTTTCCTACTTACATCCTTTATGCATTTTCTCCCTTCCTCATTCTTCCCCTACCACATGCCAAGTACCATGCTACCAGGCAGTAGAAATGCAACCATAGTAGAGCCTGCCACTACCCAGAAGGAGTCCCCACCCAGCCAGGATGACAGTTAACACTAATGCAGCAAGTGCTAGGGTCCAGGGCAGGTGGAAGGAGCCAAGTGGGGGAGGTTCCAGGCCTGTTTCCCAGAAGAGGTGATGCTTGCATTCAATCTGGAGGTCACCACAAAATGAACATAAGAGCACATGTTTTGTTAAACAGATGAGGTATGATGAACCCTGGCAGTGCGCATATAGGTGTCCATCATATCATTCTTTCATCTTTTGGATGTGTTTGAAATTTCCATAATAACAGTTGCAGGGAAAAGATGAGACATGTGCTCTAACATGGATGAAGCTTGAGGACATTACACTAAGTGAAATAAGCCAGGAGCAAAAGAATAAAACCTGTATGATTCCACTTACATGAGGTACTCAAGAGTATTCAAATTCATAGAGAAAGAAAGTAGGTGGTGGTGGTTACTAGGGCCTGGGAGGAGGCTGAGGGAAGAGTAAGGGTTTTAATGGGGACAGAACTTCAGTTTGGGAGATGGAAAAGTTCTGGAAATGGATGGTGGTGATTGCTGCTCAACAATGTAAATGTATTTAAGGCCACTGACATGTGCACTTAAAAATGGTTAAATTTGATAAGACAGATCTAAATGTTCTGATGTGGACATATGTCAGAGATACACTGTTCATTGAAAAAGGCAAGGTGCAGAATAGTGTATGTAGTGTAACTTCCATATGTGTAAAGAAAATAAATATATAAGTGCTTGTGTATGCAAAGATAACATCTGGAAGGACACCCAATAAACTATTAACAAAATTTTCCTCTGGGGCAGGGAATAGGGCAGGAGAGAAAGGGGCCTTCTATTTTCTACTTCAACCACTTATGTACAGTTTATGAGTTTCTGATATAGTTTATATTGCTTTTATTTTATTTCATTTTTTTAAATGTTTTATTTATTTAAAAAAATTTTTTTAATGTTTTATTTATTTTTGAGAGAGAGACAGAGACAGCATGAGCAGGGGAGGGCTAGCGAGAGAGGGAAACACAGAATCTGAAGACAGGCTCCAGGCTCTGAGTTAGCTGTCAGCACAGAGCCCAATGCAGCGCTCGAGCCCACGAACCAGGAGATCGTGACCTGAGCTGAAGTCGGACGCTTAACCAACTGAGCCACCCAGGCGCCCCTGTTTTATTTATTTTTGAGAGAAAGGGAGAAAGAGTGTGAACGGGAGTGAGAAAGAAGGAGGCACAGAATCCAAAGCAAGCTCCAGACTCCGAGCTCTCAGCAAGAGCCTGATGTGGGGCTCAATTTCATGAGCTGTGAGATCATGACCTGAGTCAAAGTCAGTCACTTAACTGACTGAGCCTCTCAGGCACCCCTATATATTGCTTTTATAATTAAAGTTAAAGGAGACTGTGGTATGTCTGGCAGACCATGCTGTTTACATGTGTATGTCTTCCTGGCTGAGAGAGTGACTGATTTTGCCTTTGTCCCTACATCCCACAAGGTCTCAAGAAATGCTACTAGCTGAATGATTTGACCATATTCTATAGCATTCTCTTTCCCAAGCACTAGGCAAACTGCTGGGCAGAGTCATTCCTGTTGCCAAGTCAATGAAGATGAGGAAATAAATACTAAGCCATAATGGTGGGTAGTGATGATATGTCCCCTGAAGGTTTCCTCAGTTTCTCATCAAAAGTCTTTGTTGGGGGAAGCCCATGTTCTACTTAAGGCTTGGCAAATGATCTTACCTCATCATATCCCAAGATGGCTGCATAGAAATTGTTTGTCATAAGGATCATGTTCTTCTTCAGGATATAAGAATTAACCTACAGAAACAAAATGACAGAAACAAAAGTATGAAAAAAGGAGGAAAAAAACAAAAAATATGATTTTTGCCTCTTAACTATCATAGACTCTTAGTAAAAAAAAAGAGAGAGGGCCCCTAACAGGTCGAACTGCTAGTCCATCCTCATTTCCCTGATTTGTCTAGATTCCCCCAAATTTGACAGCTTCTTTCAGATTTTGATCCCAAATTACACAAAGCAGTAAGTCACTTTCGTGAGCTGAGCCACAAGTACGTTTCAGGCTTTGTGCTAAACCCTATGAACACAAAGTGTAAGAAATGTTTCTAAGCTGGAGGAGCACACAGGCCAGTATGGAAAACCAGGTATGTAAAAAAAAATTAAACTATAATATGTTACCTCAAATTCTATTCCAGAAGTGGTGAGCAATAAATGAATTTTAGTACAAATGATCTCTCCTCTGGGAGTAGGGGAAGAGTTCTCTGGGAGGTAAGACTTATGTGGACCATGAAAGACAGAGTACATTCTAGACAGAGGGAACATGGTGTGTAAAGATGCAGAGGCAGGGAAGGAAATGTGTGGGGAGTACCAAGAAGGAGAATGGGAAGAATGCTGGAAAGGTACAGTGGAACCAGGTTAGGAAATGTCTAAGGGCCACTGAAAGGAGCTTGTGGTGGTAAAAGACAGAAGGAAGTTGTCAGAGGTGTGAAGAGGAGGTAGAGAGGCAGGACCATGAGAAGGGAGGAGAAAGGAGAGCCCCTGAGGCTGTAGAGGAGGAGAGAATAAGTTGGGCTGAAGTAGTAAGACTATTAACCTTATGAGACTGCCTTGAAATACAATTGCAGTGAGACCACTGACACTCAGGAAGAACAGCCAGGTGAGCCCTCAGAGTCTAGACTGCAGTTCACCAAATGTCTTCAGTAGACCCCCAGACCTCTAGGAAAATGCCTGAGCAGGGGGGTCCCTGTTTCATTCCTTGCTGGGACCCCAGCAGAAAGCCTGGTGTAATGTGCAGTACCTGCAGAGTATTTAAACTGACAGGTTTTAGAAACAACCAAAGGTATAAGGAACTTTACATGGAGAGTAAGGTTTGTGCTTAACAATCCTGACCATTTACTGAGCACCTGCTATGAGCCACATGCTGTTTAGACATTATCTCCTCTGACACTGGAACTCCGGTAGGTTTGCTATAGTCACACTTTTATGGACACAGAAAACTGGGCCTCAGGCAGGTAGAGTGACTGGCCCAAGGTCCCACAGCAAATTAATGATAAAGCTGAGATGAGCATCCAGGTCAGTTTGATTCCAGAGTCCATGTGCCTTACATTTCATCAGGTGCCTGCCTTCAGGATGATGATTTTATTTTGGATCATAAATCAAAGACTGATTGATTTAATCCTGTGGTTCATAATTGGGCTCTGAAGAAGAGCAGAAAGGAGTAGTGTAAGGACCTGCATTTTGTGAGACAACGTGGGTTCGAGTTCTAATTCTGCTATATTCATAGGATGTCATCTTGGGCAAATCTAATAACCATTCTGAGTCTATTTCCTTGCCTTTCAAATGCCCTAAACACATCGCTGGGTTTAAACAGCAAATGAATTAGCATGTATTCATTCATTAATTCAACAATGTATGCTGAAAGCCTCAGTAAGCTGTAAAGTGCTCTGCCAATGCAATGAATTATGAGTAATACCTTCTGGTTTGTTTACAGAAAACTAAAACCAGTTCCAATAGTCAGGGATAGTTTTCAGAAAGGAAGAGAGAATGGTGAAGCTCAAGACTGGAAAATGTGAGATTGGATGCAGCTGGTAGTACAATACACACCCTTTCCCCCCTACCTTCAACCCAAGCCAAATCAGACCTCCAGCCTTCATGTTCCCAGAGCTCTATGTCCACACTCTTCCTCCCGGATGCGCAGTACAGTTTAGAGCTGCTTATGTACCTGTCTCTCCCACTAGTCTGTGAGCTACTCAAAGGTCATAAGAAACTCTATCTGATTAATCTTGGCACGCTTGACACCTAGTCTAGGGCCTGACCCAGAGCAGGATTTAAGACTGGTAGGCGGATGACTACATCCTTACAAGGCCCTGAACGCCACACACACTATATTCCGTCCAATGACACCCTTTTGTTTCCCTTTTTTTTTTGCTGCTTGAGTACCCTACATGTTTCTGAAACATCAAAAATATGTACTAACTTCTTACCGCACCGTCTTCCAGAATGGGCTGAGGCGAAGGATGAGTCCAGAAACAAGCCAGAGCTAGAGTTATTTCCTTCTGAAATGTGAAGATAGGACTACAACCCAGACCTGCTGATATCCATTTTGGGGCTCTCCCTACTCCCATACAAGTTATTCTCCTAATTGTGTAGGAAAACTCAGAGCCACAGACAGAGTCAGAGATGTCAAACACAAAGGCATCTCTCAGAGGTAAACATTCACTGAACGTGCTCAGCAGAGATGGTTTATGTGTTGTGTCTAACTAGTAAGCTGTAGAGCTGGAAGGCCCTTCAGAGATCACCTAGCTCGATTCCTCTGAGGAAATAGTGAACTGACACCCAAAAAGGGGTAGGGACTTGTCTGAGGTCACACATAAAGTTACTGTCAGAGCCAGGCTTAGAACCTGATTTCTAGATGAGTGCTTTACCTACTTCACCATCTGTAGGGCATTTCCAGGGATCACCAACACATTAATCTGCAAACCTCAGTTTCCAGCAAGATCCAGTTACAAACAAACACACTTTCTTCTCCTGGGATGCACCTGCAGTCTGGCTGGCTATGACCCAGGAAGAATGGAGAGCGAGATGAGAATTCCCTATTAGCAAAGCTCCGCTACCATATTCTAACTCGAGTGACCTGTATGTAAGCTGCCTCTCCCTCTCCTCTCTGGCTGAGAGATGGCAAACAGCCACAGCTAGGAATGGCTTTCAGATATCATCACCCAGGCTGAATTAGATCATGAAAAGGGCCCTTCCTGGAAGAGGGTGGAAGCTTGATCAGTGCAGACACATGATCTGCAGGCAACAGGTGAGCGTGAGTGAGAACAGCTTCCTGAACTACTGGACTCACCCCAACGGGCTTTCTAGCCAGTCCACCGGCCATGGGGAGCTAGATATTCCCTCCAATGAACCTCTGTTGGGATTTTATTCCCTCACTGAAGCTTTTGTTTGTTGGTGTGCAGGCTGTGTGTCCCCAGTGCCAGACGATTCTGTAGGGAGCGCCCTGCACATGATGAATACACAGGACAAACCAAATGAGATAGCACTGCACTGTTCTCTTAGTAAACTCTTATCCTTTTCATAATGCTTTGCTTTTCATAAGAAACCCATATATACAGAATCACCACTAGGAAAATGTTCCTTTTATATCAGTTACTCATATTTTCCCATTTATTTAAGCTATTAAAATTCATGCAGATATTTTATAAGCCATCAGGATTTGGTGACTGGTATTACTGAATGTTTAATAATAGACTAAACAGAAGAAATCAGAGGGTTAAATGATGACTGCAATTCCTGTAATGACTTAATTAAATTTTTATTGAGTACATAAACTATGATGTCATTTCTAGCCAACCATGGGTCTGCTTTCCCAGCATGTCACAGGGTGGGAGCACTCAATAGGAGGCGAGGCTAAATGAGCAGCAAGTCTCAGCTCAAATGGGGAGGGGAGCAAGTCTCATGTAACACACTCAATAAATTATCCGTTCATTTTTAAACAAAGTCCATGAGTTATAATATATTTGCCATGCACTTTTTATGACATAATAAAAATGTTACCTTAAGGATTACTTAACACATACTACAAATGTTATAGCAGAGGCAGGCACAAGGGGCAAAGAAAACAAACACGAGCAGGCCAGGGACGGGTCCTGGAGTTTACGTCCCAGGGGGGAACAGCACAGTATATTAAAAAGGGAATGCCAAAAAGGGGGTGGGGAGATGCAAGAGTTCAGGGTTACTAATCAGCAGATTAATGAATGAGACAACCAACAGGGAACACAAGTAAAACAATAATGAATCTTGTAAGGCACATATTTAATTAATATAGTATTCTCGAGGAGGAATATTAGCTTTAAAGAGATGCCAGTTCATTTGAGGCCAATTCACTGCCCTCTTTCCCCTTTTTGCTGTTGCTGCTCTTAAAAACGTTTATGTGACTGCTTAACAGAGGAACCAGATTATGTGGATGGAGGGAGTGATGGAGGGTCGGATTTAAACTCCTCCATGAGCTCTACAAGGATCTTTGTGATCTGGTTCTTGGTCATCTTTCCTGCCTCACCTCCTCCCACCTCCCCAATTTCAGCTCACCCTTCAGTCAGAGTAAACTATGTGCTATTTCCACAAACAGGCCTTGCTCTCTTAAGTATACTGCCACTGGGAATCTTTCTGCCTTCTTTATCTACTGGGATGCTAACTCCTTCTTATCATCTAAGACACAGTTTATAAATTATACTTTCTGCAAAGCCTCCTCTCTCCCCAGTCTATGGTGTTTATCATGCACCAAGAACTAAGCTAAAAGATCCATGCATGTGAGTTCACTTAATCCTTCCCAGTGACTAATTCTGTGAGACAGGTACTGTTACTATTCCCACTTTAGAGAAGAGGAAACTGACATTTGGGAAGATAGGAAACAGTGGGTCAAGATTAGAACACAGAGCAGTCTGACTCCAATGATTATCTAAGTTGGAACAAACACAAAAAATAATGTAGCCCCCTCTTCATGTACCTACAACTTAGGTTATCTGTAGAGGCAGGAGTAAGAACAGCTAATATGGTCTTGGGTAAACACATCTCAGAGATTCCCAATTCCAATGGTGGCTAGTGATGGGTCATAGGATGGGTCATCAGTGGCCAATCACTGATATCCATCAGACATTGCTAGTAAGCTAAGCCTCGCTTCTGGGAAAACCGGGAAAGCAATGGTGTGACTGTGGTGTTAGAGGACAGAATAGAAGAAGGCTGGTATGGACAACACAAGAACTGATGCACATGAAAGGTGAGAATAGCTTTGCAGCTACTGGCTT